AACCAAGTGCCCAGCAGCAGCAGGTGCTGCAGTTGATGTGTGACTGACAGGAGCAAATACCAGCTGAGTGAGAGACACTGCACAGAACAGGCTGAAGGTGAGAATGACTCATGACAGTGGGGCTGAGCAGGGGAGATGCTGCAGCTCTTGGAGGTGCAGGGTGAGCAGCTGCCTGGGGCAGAAGGAGCCACAGGCAAGGGCAGCAGGTTGGGATGTAGCAGATCCCTCTGGAGCAGCCAGGGACAGAGCAGCTTTGTACAAGTCATCACAGAAGAGCAGAAGGAAGTGTGTTAGAACATGCCAGCTGCAGTGGGACAGGACAGACTTGCAGACACCCCGAACACCAGCCAGGAGTGTCACGAAGGATATTCCTCAACACACAAGGTAAGTACTTTCTCCCTTTCCTCTGGGACTTCGATGTGCCATTGAACCAACCTTCGCACCCAGTCCCTGTGGCTTCTCTCCTCGTTCCCCCCTCATTTGCCTGGGCCAGGGAGAAGGGCAAGATGGTCATACTGCAAAACCATAAGAGAAGGAGCAGCCTTCTGCACAGTCATCTTCTGCCAACACCATGGTTTCAGCACTGCCAGCAAGATCCACAGGGTAATGTTCTGTATGGCTCCCCACAGGACATCATTGTGGGCTGTCCCCTCAGCAGCATGGTCTGCATCTCTTGGGGAATGCTGCAGCATTTCCAAGGGAGCTCAGCAGACACAGATTCTTTAACAGTCTGCACTTTGGGTTTTGGGCACCTGCATAATTTACGTTATCTGAGCTAACGTCAAGGTTGTAGGGGAGGGTGGGGTTTTGGTGGTTTTTTGGTCTTTTTTTTAAACCAGCAATCATGGTGGCTCTTTTGTCATAGCTGCCAAATAAAAGTCCAAAAGGCAAAGGTCTTCTGAAAAAACACTGAGGTGTTCGGATGCACTGCTTACTCAACCCGTCTCCAGTTGCAAGGGGCTGATTACTCCAGATTATCCCAAAGTTTACACTGGGACAAAATTTTCCATTTACAGGTGGATTACCATTGGAATACAGATAACAGCTAAAATTTAGGGCATGCGAAAAGTGGCTGATAGCCACAGCTCCACAGCACAACTTAAGTCAGCAACGCATGCTCTGGCACAAGATCATTGCAGCTGCAAGTATAATGGAGTTCCCTGGCCATCCCAGCACCACAGAAAAGGAAGGGGCAGTTCTAGTCTCTGCACGGTGTATCTCAGAGCCCGGAAACACTCATCCAACTTGTCTCAAGATTTCACATAAACTCTTTGATCCTCCCTCAATAATTTAAAAAAACAACAAAACTAAAAAACACTCAAAAAAACCCACAACCAAAACCATATAAAAAAGCACATGCAGAGCAATATGGAAAAGGATTAGGCAGTATCTTTAAAACTAGTTACCAAAACAAATCTCCAACTAGCTTTTTATCCAGATTACTGAAATTAGTATCCAGTCTGCTATAGCCTGAGCATACCAGAAGTGATCACTTGATGGTTTCCAAACTACACAGACATTTAAAAGTCTTTGCCTTGATAGAGGATTTCAGATCAACCAACTCTCCCTCAAGCATTTTATAAGGAAGATTTTTCCAATCTCGCTTCCATGCAGACAGACAAGAATGGTGAGGCACCAAACGCTCCATCCACAATGCCAATCACTTCAAGAAAAGGATTCCTACCCTTCCACAAGGAGGCAGGAAGGTGCCATCTCCAGCACACTTACTCCTTCTATCCCTAAATCCTGTCAGTCTCAGAGTCTGTGTTAAGGGTCTGCCACAGATTGTGAGCCTGTGCTGGGACAGAGGAGCAACTAAGTCACATTGCAACCCTCTGACAGAACCCATTTCCTTTACAAAGGGTATCTGCATGCCAAGTAATTTACTTCTTGAAATGCCACATGTACAAATTTCTAGAAAAAACAGTTCCTTACATGACCAACCTGAACCAGGAGACCTGAATTAGAAATCTACATAGTGCTGTACAGATTATCAATATCCTTTCATCATCTCACATCCCACTGCCAACTATGACTCTCATATGGTAGTTAAGGGACACTACAGGATACATTCTTAGATATCTTCCACTTTTTCAGAATCCCATCTTTTTGTTGCTAGTCTGATGAGCTAGAAATAAGCATGAATGCTATCAGTCATCTCTCCAAAACCACAAACACCACAGCTGCAGGTTAAACCATCCTTCTCCAGCAAGTCTAATTCTTGTAATTGCTATCTAGATTCCGCATTCAGTTTTAGGAAAGAGATGCTATTCACATTATGCCTTTCTAAATCAAATTTCTAACTAGAAATATTTTGCAACCAAAAAAAAGTGTATTTTATTTGTGATCCAGTTTGGGAAGGCAGGTATCAGACACTTCCTAGACCATTTTCCCGTAGCTAAAAGAGTATTGAAGTTAAAAGCAAGGAATAAGCAGTCAAGTTAAAAGTGAATTTGTTAATTTTTTCCCCTTTACTCACAATAGCTGTTCTGTCCGTAGCACATGTCCAAGGTCAAGTATTTGGAACCTTTATTTAGCTAAAAATGTTTCCTCCTTCTGAGTGGGTGTTGCAGTCAGCTCAAATGTCCTCTTACTGTTAAACATATACTAGTAGTCCTGAACTGAGCAAAAAACTTGTATCAAATACTAGCTAAAGATGCCATTTTTAAGCTTAAAGGAAAATCAGAGGGTTTTTTTTTTCACACAGGAAGAAGTAATATTTGAGTTCAACAACTACAAACTCTGGATTAAGTGTAATTTCTGAATACACATAGGAACATGTAGAGTTACACAGCAGAAAGTATCACTGTCATATTGGGACAGAAAAATTACACCAAAATATATTTATAAATACCTGGATTTTTCTGGGTACACAACCATGATCATTCTCCACTGAGCCTCTTACAATGCAGCAGGTAATAGCCAACCATGACTGCAGGGAGCTTCCTTTCATCAACTGCCTGCCTAATAGGAATCAGCTGCCCCACTCTGAGAACAGTACCATGCTGCCTCATTAGAGCAGCAGCAGCAGTAGTCCGAATTCTGGAGAGCGTCTCCTTGGCTAAACCATTCCTTAAAGAATCAGTATTTTTCTAAATAAGTTATCTCAGTTAAGTATGTGAGAAAGTATCTACCTTATACTTTCTGCATAAAAAATTATTGTACACTTTGAGGTAGAAAATATTTCCCTTGTATCTATATCCACCACAGGCCACCCTCACTAAAGAGCATGGTGACATAGAGGAACTGATTTATTGCTGGAGATGCAGGGGCTGTGCTGAGCCCTCCCAGTCCCTACCAAGCAGAGTTTCACTTCCCAACCAGCTCCCCCTGTGCCCAGGCTCAGGTTTGTCTCACTGACTGCAGTCTGCCCTCACATTTAAAGGGCTGCCATGCACCATGAGAAGCAATGGGTAGAGGCCTTCAACCAACATACAACCCTGTTCTGAGAAGGAAGGTGGCCCCCAGCCTTCCTTTGAGGGAGCAGCCCACAGCTGCCCACAGAAAGGAAAAGAACTGATGGGGTCTACATATGTAAGCAAAAATTCCAGATTTTATGCAGTTTGACCTGACACAGCCAGGTGGTCCTGGCCTTTGTTGCCTTTGCTTGGGCAAGTAAATGCTCAGTGTAAACACAATCATTTTTCAGCAAGTTTTGCCATTTATTCGCTACTTTCCCCCAAAGTTGCATTCTCATTTCCGAAATGGCAGCCTCCAGACCTAGGGAGAGTGAGGTGAGGGGGCAACAAAAACTTCCTCTTGACAGAAAACAATCATTTGGACGGATCACAAGCCATGTTTGCTAAGGCCTAAGGAGCAACAGAATGAGAATTTCAGATGTACTTATCCAAGCCAGAGGCACTGGTGAAGTTATCCCATCACTGACCTGTGCTTCCAAAAACATCCAGCACGATGATTGATGCTGCGTGGCACAGCACTTCTGTGTGGTGCTGCTCTTTGTCCTGTATCTGCCCTGCAGCACAGCTCTGCTGTCCTGGTTTACTAGGAACTCTTCAGACCTCATCCTGGGAACCATCTGGAATGATCCTCTGTGCAGAAACAGCTGTTCACCATGATTTTCTCACCTAAAACAATTCTGGATATCCAGAAGACATGCGTGTTTTTTGGGGATATGTATGAGAACAGGAGTTGTTTCCACATTGAGGACTGCTTCTGGCAGTACTCAGTCACAACCTGCTTCCAGCTCCTTAGGTCAGCTCTGTAAGTGAGCAGAAGCAATCCATCTGAACCACTGCAACAAGCGAGCTATCTACCTCCAAGTAACAACTCTGTGCAAGTCTTCTGAGAAAACTGCGTTCACAGGCTGGTAGTATTCCTAAGGAGCCATTCAGGATTTGGATTGCAAGTGCCATCCACTGACCCCCACAGTATCTACAGCTGGTGTAAAGGCCTGGTATTTACATCAAGCCCAAACCAGACCAGAGTTCCAGCTTTTTGCATGCAATAAATGTGGTTTTGGAGCTACGAACAAAGTGAAAACATCAAACCTCGGACACAAAGCCCAGCGAGTTTGCTTTCATTAGCCTAGGGAATGAAATATTCCCTACGTAAAACAGTAGCATTCAGTGAGAGACTTGGAGTTCCCAGCTAAGAGAACCATCACCCTCCCCACTGCCACAGCTGATAGCAATAGGGGATAGGTAATTTAGGGAACTCCTTCTAAGGCCAAAGAATGACATCACTGCACCTGTGTGAAGTACTAAAACAAAATCTTTGAAAATAATAAACCACAATAAATCAGTTTGATCGGATAATCTTAGTTCAAAATATTTTTCCTGAAGATCAGTAGCAGTATTGAACACATTCAGGATGAGCCTGCTATGTGCACACGAAGAGTGCTGCACAGAGGGAATTTGCTTCTGCTCAGATTCCCCACTTGTCAAAATGAGAAAAAGAGAAACTTTCACAGCAGTAGTTGATCAACATTTTATTTAACAAAAAGATCAGTTATCCAACAGTTAATGGTATCAAACTCAAAAAAATATTTCACTGCACTTTCTATAACTGTATTAAAAACTGATACAAAATGTTTTCATCCAACTGAAATACCAGGTTTTAAAAAGAGCATCTCGGGGAGCTTACAACCCACATGTACAGATCAAGGAAAGCAAGAAACAAGACACAGAGCACGTCATGGAAACACAGCTCCCTTTCCGCTTGTCTTGGACAGTGTCGCACTGTACCTATGTGTGCCCTTTACATGGAGTGTACCGAGGGGGATCACACAGCCTTCCAGAGAAATAATGTATGTTTAGTGAATTTTCTGTTAAACAGCTTGCTACGTTTATAGATCTAAGGGGTGATTGTCTCAACAGTTCCCTTAACCTAAGCAGCAGTCCTGGGCCTGATTTTGCCTTGAGTATCTGCAGGCAGACCCAGACGGGGCCATTTCTTGATTCTGTCACTGTCTTTTTGTTTGTTCACCATGTCAGACTGCTCTGCTGCGTAAGCTCCAAGTACTTACTCCCTAGTCTAACAATTTCCAAAAAAGGAGGCAGAAGCCCAACACAAAATCAATTGAATCCAGTATTTGTGACAGTATTTGGACCTCATAACACTAATATTTAAAGTCTATCAAAACTATAAATAAAGTTGCAACTAGAAAGGTTTGGGAATCACTGATTGGAATGCTGTTTCAACAGGCCAGCAGGAAGAGTCAAGGTTATTCATTAAATACAATGCAGACGGTAGCAAACTTTTTATTTTCTAAGGGAATGCCTAACACATACACGGTTGCAATTCTAGGCCTGTTTAATTTATTTCACAGCTTATGGAAATTTTGCCATGGTATAGCTACCATTTGCACATTCTCCAATTTGCACATCAGCGTTCCTGCTGGCAAATACTCGCATGAGTTTGTTCAGCTGCTGGAAAGATGCTCATGCCTTCTGAAAGGAACTGGGCTGAATGTCTGAAAATATTTACAGGTTATTTTCACGGGGAATATTTTCTGGTTTCTTCTGCAGAAATATTCTGGATATAGAAGGTTTTTTAAAACTCTTTTAAAAGCACTTGGTAAGTTTTCTCCCTACCACCCATCCATCCAAGTGACTGTATTCAATGATGACTTCTAATCTTTAGCATAAAACCAGAACCACATACATGGTTCATGACACGACGTGTGGCAGTACACTCTTTATCCGTTTATACACCCTATCTTGAGGCACTTAACAGTTTTTTCAGATATACCTAACAATTCCAACTGAAAATCTCTTCCTATTTTACCAGCCTGCCAGCACATAGGCATAGGCAGGCACAGGCTACCTAACGAGTGCTACCCTTACAGGAACACGCTTGCCGAAACCTCTTCCAAGTAAAACACGTCTGAACATTAGGTCAGCTCAGGACTCTTCTTTTTTTCTTATCTTTACAGTTCATCGTGTTCCTCTTTGGCCTCCTGGTCTTTCAGCTTGAATTCTTCAGTGGTAACTTTACCATTTCCATCCCGGTCTTGATTGGTGAACATATTTTTAACAATCTTTTCAAAATCAAAACCAGGAGCTAGTTTCCCTTTGCCAGAATCAACTTGAGCTTTAATGTACTCTGAAAACTAAGCAGAGAGAAATAGGAGAAAGCTGCTCATAGTGAAACAGACATTTAAAACTGAAGAGTATTTACAAACATGGTATTTATTTGTTTTGATTATTCAGCATTTTACTACTTACTAAGCGTGCATAAAAGTACACTGTTATAACCTAAATTGGACAGACATGTGAGGTTACATCACTCTTTGTAGAGCTCACCAGGAATTTCCTCACTTATTCCTCACTTGACTCCATGGTGGGGAAGGTTGCAAAGTTTTAAGGTTAGTTTTCCCTAAAAATTCTTTTCCTTATACGTTTGAAGTTATTCAAGGTGATTAGACAACAACCAACAGGAGTCATACTGTTGGCTTGCCAACAAAAACAGAAGTCCACATTCAAACAGAATTTTTCCAATTACTGTTATCTCTGGCGCTGTTAAATAAGCTTCAGCAACAAAAGCTATTTCTGACATTCCTTTACACCTTTTAGGCCAAGCATCCTCTCATTTCTCCTTGGCTTCTCCTCCTCACTAGGTGACCAGAAGGACGTAGATATCAACAGTCACATCCCACCTCACTCAGTCTCTAGGCTGATAAAAGCTCTTTTCTTCTCTGCAAGGACAGAAGTGGAGGTAAACACAAGAGAGAAGATGGAGAAAGAAGGAAAACAAAGAGGTGGAAGAGAATGCTAGGAAGAGGGAAAACAAGATATTGGTTTTACCCCATTGGCTTGCTAAAATGCTGGAAGGCACCTCACGCTGTTCCATAGTCCACAGCCTGCACCTTGAGAGCTGCAGGCAGCACTACTCCAACAAGCAAGGACAGAAAACAGAATGATAGAGAAAGGCAACAAAGACGACTGAAGAAGAGAATAAAAAATAGACCTCCTCAGCTAAGAGAAAATGGAGAGGAAAACCTCCCAGAGGTTTATATTCTGAGAGATGGTGTGGGAAGTGGCTCTCAATCAGGGCACCCAATGACATTCTCACACTGGGGGAGAAAAGCAGGCAAGAAGGCCTTGTTCCCACAGCACACAATTCACCTGTGGGAGGAGCAGCCACAGGCACTGCCAGGCTGCAGGAGTGATCAGACAGCTCCTGGATGCTCTGCTGCAGGCTCAGCTTTGGCTCAAGAATTCACCATAAACCTCCAAATAACAGAGACTGAGAAGGCTGGTACAGGGACGGACCGCTGAATACCAACTCTGCCTCTAACATCTGTGCCCTAACCTGTTGGTCAACCTTCTGTTGACCAAGAAGACCACAACAGTACATTATCTTAAGTAGTATGGCCATTCTTGTATTTCTTTTTTCTTTTACGTTCCATCTCTAAAGCTAAATAACCATGTTTTATTTGACATGCTGCCGTCCTGTTAACTTGACAACAAACACAATGTGAGAAGAAGAGAAGGGGAGAGACCTCATTCTTCAACATCTGCACTGATGGTGGCAGGAGAAAACCACTGCAAGTGTGTTCACCATTTCAGCTTACCTCCTCCAGAAGAACCTCTCCATCATGATTCTGGTCTATTTCTTCAAAAAGATTGGGAGAGACTTCCCCATTCCATACAAACATGTATCCTTCAGGCAAGCCAGACACCAGTTCCAGCAGTTCAATGTCAAAAACTAATACAGCACTACCGGGCACTTCTCCTTCTGTCACAACAAACGGCAAAGAGGGTATTTTTCGTCACTTACATTGAACAGTGTCTTTGCTTTTAATCCATAATTAAATTTCTCTTCCTGCTCCAACAGGTTCTCTACTGCGATCCTCAAGCCCAGTGATCCCAAGCCCACCAAATCTTTCTTTTCACTTCAGCAGAGGTGATCAAAACAAAGGAAGCTTTCATAATAAAACTGCATCCATTTTTTTAACTACAAAGGTAAAACAGTGAGAAATAATCAATTTTTCTTTATCTCACCGACACGCTGGGTATCAAGGCGCTACTGACCGACTCAATGGTGTTGTAACAGCTTGGGCTGTTACCTCTCAGAAACCATGGAAGGAGTTTTAATTCCTTCTTGAAAAAGAAAACTGAGGTCACCTCTAACTTCTGTCCAGTAGTGAATGAGCAATCTCTTCAGACATCTGGGTATACACCAAAACACTAACACTCAGGCAGTGTTTCAGACCGTGCGTATCAATGTAATTTTAATGATGGCAAATGCCTATGGTAAGTTTATAATGTTTATTACATTTTTAACACAGCAGACTTTTTATGTTATGAGGAAAATTTTAAATTTATTATCTGTAACTATACAATTTTATATCATACTATAAAATGTTGCATGTATAATACTCATAATTTTTCATGGAAGACAGTTAAAAGTGAAAATATTTCTTCATCTCTTATCACAGACTGATTCTCCATTAAGCTTGGCACACGATGCCTGACAGTCTTTATAAAATACAAACTGTTCTAGAGTGATTCAAAGAACATTGCAACTCATGCAACTGTACTCATGTATCAGAGTTTGTTGGTGTTGGTGATCTCCCAATAGTCTCCTTTCCCTCAAGTCTTTTAACTCATAAGACAGGCAACAACCACACATACTGGGAGATGAGAGTTCTTGTCACTTCTATATTGTTCTATTATTGTGGTCCTTCATGCTCTAAACCAGGGCAAACTGCATTACGTGTGTTAGTGCTGGGGTTTCAACAGCACCGATGAACTGTTTCACACCTTACAATCAGTTTATGTAGTTTCTGAATTCTGAGTTTTCCTTGAATTTCTAAAATACTGGTGCTGAAGAGTACCCTTCAGTTTCATTTCCTGAATAACACGTCGTATGTCCAAGCATAAATACCCAATTCCCTACCATGCAGATAAGCGTTTACACCCCTCTGCAACACCAGAGTGCCTGGAGCTTTCTGCTTTGACAAAGCAATATTACTGAGGGCGTGTGTTCCCGTCTGGACTGGGATGGTCTTTACACTGCCCACAGTAACAGCGTGAGTTACACCACAGCACAGACAGTATGTTTATTTCACTGGGGAAATGGGGGGGTTGTCTAAAATAATGAAATGAAAAAAGTCTTTAAAAAATCCAATTCAAACAGTAGGACACTTACCTTATGTCCCCTCACACAGCAAGTAACAAAACGCGCATACTTGTGTTCAGTTACCCAAGAGATGCTAAGTGGATGTGGAGTAGGTTTCACTCACCAACACCATCTTCTCCATAACCAAGATGAGGTGGAATAACAACTGTCCGACGTTCCCCAACACACATGTCTTGAAGGCCCATGTCCATGCCCACCACCACCTGGCCAGATCCCAGAACTATGTTGTAGGTCTTGCCAAGGCTGTGTCTGCAGGAAGGGAGGGGAGAATAACAAACAAACAAAAAATCTCAAGATACAACAGAGAATTTCTGATGTTCGAAATTACAACAGAAACAGCAGTTTCTAGTTTGTGTTGTGTCACTGCTAAAAATCGACTTCATGGCCAATGCTCTGTTCTACCAAGCAGTTATCTGAAGTTGTCCTCAAGGCATGAAGCTACAGCCAACATCAAGCAGTAGTTTCCGCTACTGCTGACAAGTCCTCTGGTACTACAATTCTTCTTGAAGGAAATCCAATTAAAATCATTAATCCTGCCAATTAAACCCTCAAGGTATTTTATCTTGAAATAAGGGCTCTTGCCTTTCACACATTTTTAACTGAATTTGGACTTTTTAGCAGATGTAAAAATTCCAGATGTACACTTGTCCCAGAACTACCAACCCACACAGATCTGGGTGCATTCACATTCCTTTAAGGAAATTGGTCACTATAATGTAGTAGTCACTTCACCAAGACAGCTTGGAAGTATATTACTACTGCTGCTATTTAACCATACTATATTTTGACTTATATCTTGCTGCTGCTGGCTCATTTCTAAAACTAGAAATTATCACGAGATAAAACCCCAGAAGTTATCATGAGATAAAACCCCAGAAGTTAAATATGTATTTTGATTCTAAAAGCAGAGTGCGCAGTCTTAAAACCTTTTCCTGGGTACTTGTCACAACAGCAGGACCCTTTCTTCTGTCGGTTTCCTTTTGGTTATTTGGCTTGGCTGCACCACTGCAGGACATGCTTGTACAACAGAGTATTATTTGGAAAGAAAACAATTCAGTGGCTAGGAGGTCAGCCTTACAACTAGGAGCACAAGACTCCTGATCTTTGATCCTCTGTGAACTGCTTTGAGTGAGACAGCCTTGACATCCCTTGGTTCCTGTTACAAAATGGCAATTGAGCATTCCT